AGGAGGAGGAGGAGGAGGAAAAAATTTTAAAGGAAAGAAGTTAGCCATGGTGGCACACACCTTTAATCCCAGCACTCTGGAGGCAAAGGCGGGCAGATCTCTGTCAGATTTAGGCTAGCCTGGTCTCCATAGCGAGTTCCAGGCTAGCTGTGGCTACAAAGAAATCCTGTTTCAAAAAAGGACCAAAAAGAAAAAGAGGAGAAAAAAAAAAAAAGATGGGCTGAGAGATGCTCAGTGGTTAAGAGCACTGGCTGCTCTTGCAAAGGACCTGGGTTTGGTTCCCACACAGCAGCTAACAGCCATCCGTAACTCCAGTTCCAGGAGATCCAACACCTTCTTCTGACCTCCGCAGGCATTGCACTTACATACATGCAGGCAATACACTTGTGCACATAAAATAAAAATAAAAAAATAATAATAGTAATAATAATAAAAGAAAACTCATTATCTACTGTGATCCAGACTTTTATACTGAGTGTAAGATATACAGTGGTGAACCAGAAAATCTTTGCCCTCACGAGCACAAGCAGAGGTAGTTGAGACAGATTCTCTGCTTTAGGAACCCGAGCTTTTAACTCAGCTGGGAGATCAGTCTCCCAGAGACTAATGGACCTGATGTAACATTGAGCACTGGGTGAGGAGGGGCAGCTCCTACTGAGAGGGGCCGTCAGAACTCCCAAAAGCTCCTAATTCATTGTAATGACTCAGGCACCGAGCTTAGGCACTCTTGAGTGGCCTAAGATGGGCCTCTCCATCTCCCTGTGCAGTCTTAGAGGGTGTACATCCACTTACACATGAGCAGCTGTATAGCCTCCTAAATCATCATCCTCTTCTTTGTGCATGCTGTCCGGTCTCACTCATCTTCACACACATTTCCATCATATCATTTGTTCTACTTTTCAACCTCAATGTCTCCTCCTTGCTAGGATAAAGTCTTGATTGAGATAAAGTCCCATCCACTGAGCCTGCCCTCCCTTCCAGCTCTGTGTCTTTTGGTCTTGCTCCAGTTCAGCCAACTAAATTCTTTTTATTTTACTAATTGACAAGTATTCTTGCCTGCAGGCATTTGCACATAACTTTGTTCTTGAATACCTTCCCCCTTTCTGGATTTCAGTGCACATAAAGAACCCAGCCCAGATCCTACTACTCTTCTCACTGGCCTTTCCCTTGCTGTTTCAGCTCTCCTGCCATTTGTAATTGTCAGTGCCTGTGAGAGCCACTAAGGAGAACCTGCCTGATATAGCCTGCCACATGTCTCTTCTTTCAGCTCATTCCTGGGGCTCCTGGCTTAGGAAACCAACTCCAAAGTACTTTGTCTCTTGTGGCCTAGGAACATTTGCTGAGTTTTTGACAAGAGGCTGAAAAAAGAGGGTCTGGAGTTAAAACTTGGAAAAAATAAGATTGTGATGTTCTTTAGGCTAAAGATGGACCAGGCAGAGGCATGTAGGAAGGTGGGGGCAGGATATGAATAGGCACCTCAAGTAGCGGACAGGGGCACCGTTTCTGCTCAAAGCTCTAGGCCCCAGCTCAAAGCTCATAGACCAGCTGCGCAGCCCCTTACATAAAAGTAGCAATGCCCTAGCTTGCGTCATAGCTGTCATCTTGTCTTTGTGCTTCAGAGGAGCAGTTCATCCTCTCCCAGGTTGCACTCCTGGAACAAGTGGATGCCTTGGTACCCATGCTGGACAGTGCTACCATCAAAGGTACTTCTCTGGGGCTGCAATGCCTCTATTGTGCTTGGGAAGGTGGGTGGGTGGGCCAAGACATCCCTCTGTGCTCATGCTGGATCTGCTCCTTATCATTCCTCCCCTGTGGGAACCTGCCACCAGACGATGATTAAAATTTCCAAGCAAGAGCCTAGGTCCAGGACCTCAGACAATTTGGGCCCAAGGACAATAGCATAAGCTTTAGCAGGCCCAACTCTGGAGATTTCTTTTGCTTTCTACCCCCCACTCAGCGTCTCTCCTTCAGGGTACTGCGGAGCCCAGATTTTATTGTCAGAGCTCCTGCCAGGTATGTGAATTCTTGCTGCACTACTAAAAGAGTCCCTGGGCCTGGGCTTTGACAAGCAGGCAGTAGCTTTAATTGAATCCAGATACCCATCTTGTCTGTCTCTAGAGGTGTTTTTCCCAGCTCCCCCTTCTTGTCCTGATCAACTCCCTGCTTGAGTATCTGACAGCCTGAAGCTTCCAGTGTTGGATTCCAAGGGGCCAATTTAGAGACTTGGTATTCACCCCCAGCCTACCTATAGGCTCCTGTCCCCTAGGCTATGCAGACCTAGCTCTGCTGGGCTAAGAACAAAGGGAAAAGTCCCATAATAGGTCAAGCTCTTTTTACCTGACTGTACTTGGGTGGGATAGGAAACAACCCTGGGGACTTTTAAGGTTTTATCTTCTGGGCACCTATTCTTCCCTTCCCTTTGGGTCCTGGAATAAGGCTGGGAAGGGCAGGGAGCCCCACCACCACCTCCAGCTACAGTGGTCGATGAAGCCTGGCGTTTGTTTAGCTTCTCCACTCAATACTTTAATCCTGCCGAAGACCTAATAGACTATTGAGCAGTCCCAGGGGAGGGTACAAGCATCACTGGGCAGTGTGCGTTGTGTTTTACAGCCGTTCCTGAGCATGCTGCCCGCCTGCAGCGCTTGGCCCAGATCCACATCCAGCAGCAGGTATAGAAGGGGAGAGGACTAGAAGGGAAAGTAGAGATGGTAAGGCACCACCATATCCCCAGCTCTTGCAACCTGGGGAAGCAGTCTCTGACCCTCTGTTGTCCAAGAGAAACTTGGAGGTTTATTCTTCCAAAGGGAAGAGGCTTGCATAGTACCACATCCAGGCATCTTGCCTCCCAGAATAGAGCTATTCTGAGATACTAGAAGTTTGAAGTTGAGAGGTACCCAATCATCCCTGGTGGGGGGGGGATAAGTTCTTGACTGTGGGTAAAAGCTCTTTTTTCTTTTTAAAACAGTTTAATATTTTATTTTTGTGTGTATGAATTTATTGCCTGCATGTATGTAAGTGCACCTGTGTCGTGCAATGCCCACAGAGGTCAGAAGAGGACGTCAGGTCCTCTGGAACTGGAATTACGGATGGTTCTTAGCCTCCATATTGGTGATGGGAATCAAACCTGGGTCCTCTCTAAGAGCATCCAGAGCCATCTCTCCAGCCCCTAAAGTTCATTTTTCAAGTTCAAAGAGGGTTTAGAAATAGGGACACAAAAGGAGGGAATGTTAATGTCTGGCTAACTGTCCCTTCCATCAATCTTTGGGCTGCTGTTTAAGGCACCCATCTTAGGCAAATTTTGCAACTTGCTCCTTTTGCTCTAAGTTTAAGCATCATCTTTTCTAGGCTTGATGGGGAATAATGAGGCAGGAAGTTCATTGAGAGATGGGGTCTTAACCAACTCCTTTCTGTGATATACTTTGGCCTACAGGACCAGTGTGTAGAGATCACTGAGGAGTCCAAGGCTCTTCTGGAGGAATACAACAAGACTGTATCCTTTACACTTGGCCAGGCCCATAGTGGGTATTCTGGTCAAGGTCTATTTGTCCTACTTCTAATGCTTTCTCATCCCATTCTGTTCTCTCCTTTACCCCTTTGGGCACATGCAACATCTCTACTCCCTCATTCATACTCTTGTTGTCACCTTGACCTGTGACCAGACAATGCTTCTCTCCAAGCAGTTTGTACAGTGGGATGAGCTACTTTGCCAGCTAGAGGCTGCCAAGCAAGTGAAGCCAGCAGAAGAATGACAGCTGCTCACCATGCCAAGGCAGGGCAGGGCAGGCAGGCTCCAGGGCCTTGTGCCAATCTGCCTTTATAATAAAGCAGAGACAACTTTGTATTTATTGGATTCAAGACTTCCTGTCTGCGCTCAGTTTGGGCTCTGAGGTCAGTGGTTGGGTTACCTTTAGAGTTGTGACCCTTGCATTCCCCATCAGTGTATTATTTCCAGTGAGAATAAACAGTAGAGATCCCTGAAGGAGTGTGTTGGATTTCTGGTTGTGAGGATCAGGGTGGTGAAGAGCAGAGCTGTGAAGCTACTTTGTGATTAGACCAGGAGCTATACTGATCATGGTCTGTCTTACTAAGCAATGTAGAGCTCTATGGATGCTCTCACATCATTGATCCATATAGATGGGACATTTGTGTGTCCATTTATCCTTTGTTTACCAAGTACCCTCTAAATATTGGATGCCATAGCAGGTAGGGAGGACATAGGTAGGGACACCTAGTCTCTTCTCTGCAGAGGGTTGGGGGAGATGAGGAAAGCCAGTCCCACCAGGTGGCCTCGGAGCAAGGAGGAGCAAGCAGGGACGTTCAGAGCCAAGGTAGCACAGCATTATGTCCCTACCTGGTACCATTAGCCAGAGGAGCATGAGGAGAAAGCTGGGAGAAAGGGGTTTGCATCACTCGCCACCTACTATCTACTGCCCCCTTGTGGTGTGAGTGCTTTGGCTCCTTCGTCTGCCTACCGGCCACCCCACCCATTCCAGATGCTGACACGAAACTAGCAGTCATCCTACTGTATCCAAACCGTCGCCTGCTCGTCCCTAAAACTAGAGTATCTGCCAACATAATTTCTTTCTCAATTTCTCTTGCCATCTCTGGTGAATTAATTCCACAAATCATTTGACAAATATTTGAGTGCCATTTATACGCCCGCCACTGCACTAGGCTCTGTGGACACACCCCCGTGGTGGCCAGAAGCACTGTCATTATGGTGTGGGGTACAGCCCCGTCCTAGGGTCACCAGTATCTCACCCCCATTACCGAATCCACCCAACCTACACAGCCAATCATCTGTGGCTGATGAGTTGTGCACACTGGCTTGGCCCCTATTGAGGACCCCGGGATGCACAGTGCCAAGAGGATGAGGTCGAAGCTCAGAACTCTAACCAGGGGTCTGGCCCGCTCGTGTCCACGGGACAACCTTTGCCTCTGTGGTACCATCCAACTCTTATGGGCACAAGTCTCCATTCTTCGGGCGCAGGGCCGGTCGGATGGCCGCTCCCTCCCCGGCGGGGCCCTCTCCCCACTGGGGTGTGCCCCGGCGTCGCGCGTGGCCAGCCAGGCCCAGGCGTCAGTCCCAGCCGCCGCGTCCCGGAGTCCCTTGGCCCCGCCCCTGCGTGCGGGCTCCCGCGGCCTCGGCGCGTCCCCGGCCCGCGCGCCATCTTGGCTGCTCTGAGGGTCGAGCGAGGTCGGGCCCCGGAGGTAAGAGCCAGTTCCCAGCGGGGTGGGGCCTCGGGGGTGGGGAACGGGGACGCCGGCTGCCTGACGAACGCGGCGGTGGAACCCGCCCGGCCTCCGGAGTGACCCCAGCAGCCCTCCGTGCCGCCTCTACTCGGGAGCGTCCACGTGGCCTTTAGGCCATCGACCCCGGGAATCCCGGGATGAGGCCTACTCTTCCCCGCCTCAGGACCCCAGGTTCGGGTCTGTTTGGGGCAGCACTTTGTGAGGACTCATGGCTGTGGCCCCGAAGCCAGGGGCTAAGAGGCCTGACCTTCTGGAAGCACAGTGAGCGGCCTTGTCCTTTGGCCTTAGCAGCCTAGTGAGGAGCGCCCATTGTTGTTCCTGGTGAGGGTTCTTAGGTGAGGGCTCCCGGACCAAGACCTGGGGAGCTTGTGATGAGGCCGGCCGTATTCCTGAGAGCCTGTTGTCTGGGGGGAATTTGGGACTCCTGGGAGAATCTAGAGAGGTCTTACTGGCTGGGTCTAAAGTATCTGAGAAACTGGGGTGACCCCCTTCCTGGGAAGTCTGAGGTGAGGAACAGGACCACATCCTGGAGGGTTGGAGAATGGAGCTGGTCGCATTCCTAGCACTCATCTGCTACTTTCCTGCAGTGCCCAGCAAGACCGATTCACCTCCACCAGGAGCAGGATGGAGCACTACCGGAAAGCTGGCTCCGTAGAGCTCCCAGCGTCTTCCCCAATGCCCCAGCTACCTCCTGACACCCTGGAAATGCGGGTCCGAGATGGGAGCAAAATTCGAAACCTGCTGGGACTGGCACTGGGTCGGTTGGAGGGTGGTAGTACAAGACATGTGGTGTTCTCAGGTTCTGGCCGCGCTGCAGGAAAGGCTGTCAGCTGTGCGGAGATTGTGAAGCGGCGGGTTCCAGGCCTGCACCAACTCACAAAACTGAGCTTCCTGCAAACAGAAGACAGCTGGGTCCCAACATCACCGGACACGGGCCTAGACCCCCTCACAGTGCGCCGTCACGTGCCTGCAGTGTGGGTATTGCTGAGCCGGGACCCCTTGGACCCTAGTGAGTGTGGCTACCAGCCCCCAGGAGCACCCCCTGGCCTGGGCTCCATGCCCAGCTCCAGCTGTGGCCCCCGACCCCGAAGACGGGCTCGAGACACCCGATCCTGAAGACCTGCTGAGCCTGTCTGTACTCTATACCTTAACACCTGGGATGGCTGTGCCTTCTCTGAGAAGTACTTGTGACTGCCGTCTCAACAAGGCTGGAGTCCACCCAAGTGCTGTTTCCCCTTCCCTCTGGAATGTGGGATGGGACTGCTGAGAAGAACGACGAGTGTGGGGGTCTGTGCTGAGTTGAAAACTGTTTAAGGAGGGCTTACTCTGTCTGGACCTACAGTACATCTGATCTGCCTTTTCTGACAGAGGTCCTGAGAAAGGGAATAAAAGTTCTGCCCATTTGTTTAGCCTGCTGTGTGGAAGTGGGATTAAAGGAATGGGAATCTCTGCCTTTCCCCTGAGAGCTCATGGCTGAAGACAGGAAGGGTAGATACAGGCTGCTGGGTGGATCTAATGTCAGTAAGACTTCCAGTAATAACCTGGATGGCTTTTTGCCACCTGCTTTAGGCAGGTTTAGGGACTCTGTCAGGTCAGACATTTTCCCTCATCTGTGGCATATGTTATAATATAGTGGGATCATGGATTCAGGCATTGGCCCAACTGGGTTTTAATCCTGGTTCTCTTGCATTGTGATCTTGAATAAATTACTGCTCTGAGCCTTAGTGCTCTCATCTGTAGAGATACAATGGTGCTTTCTTCATTAAAGTTGTTACAAAGAATAAAGAGATGTACATATAGCTCAAGTATATAAACATGCTTTTTTCTTTTCCTTTTTTTTCATAGTTACAGAAAAGAATATTAAGGAACAGGTGCAGAGAAGCATAGAAGTAGGCCAGGCTCCCCCACCCCCACCCTGCCCTTGGCCTGGCTTTCAGAGGGCAAGAAAGAAGTGCTTTTTTTTCTTACTTTAAAAGCATACTTCATGGCAGGCATAGTGGGGCAGAGGCAGAGGCAGGTGAATCTCTGTGAGTTAAAGGCCAGCCTGGTCTACATAGTGAGTTCCAGGCTAGCTGGGGCTACAGGGAGACCCTGTCTCAGAAAGGAAAAAAAAAAAGCATATCTCAATCCTATGTCTTTTCTTTACGTGTTCTCCTTGCCTTTTTACCCATTGCTGTTCTTTTTCTGCCTTACCTTGGTCCTAGATTCAGATTCCCCTCAGGCATCTGAGAGATAAAAGTTATGTTAGTAGCCAGACAGTAGGGCAGGATTACAGACAGTGAATAGACAATGGTGGTCTCTGAAGAATTGAGCCAACTAGGTCTCCTATGAATCAACATTTTCTCCAATGTGTCCAGTAGCTAGGGTATTCAATCATGAGGAAAGCTGGAGCTCTTCTGGATTCATATTGCAGCAGGACTCAGCAAGCTGAGGCTGTTGCAGTGATGTTTTCCTCAGATCAGGCAAGAGAGCAATATGTTGGGAGAGAGAGTTGGGGAACTGGAGGCCTTGATGTGGGCTTCAAGGAGCGATGAGTGACCATAAGGCTATCAAACTGTGATCGGAACTTGAAACTTCATCCTTTGCTTTCCAAGATGGGTCATCTTTAATGATATAAAGGACATTGGGGAAGAGGCAGGTAATGAGGATTCAGGATGTTGAGAGGTAAAACCTGTTACTCAGCCAGGCCTTTCAAATGTAGATGATCCTGGGGCTGGGGAGATGGCTGGGTTAGGAGCACTTGTTGCTCTTGTAGAGGATCCAGGTTCAATTCCCAGCACTGACATAGCAGCTCACAACTACTTGTAACTCCAGTTCCAGAGGATCTAATTCTCCTGGCCTCTGCAGACACCAGGCACACACACATGGTACACATACATATATGTAGTCACACATAAAATAAAAATAGTCTTTTTTTAAAATGCAGATGGTCCTGAAATACCTAACCTACCACTAAAGGGGCCGCTGTGGTACCTGATGTTTTCCTATCATCTGACCTCAGTTCTCCATTTAGCTGAGGAGTCAAGGTTTTGGCCCCTCAGCTTCTACCTACTGGCCCTCTCACATGTGTGCCACCATGCACTTCTCTGAACAACATTTTCAACTGCATCTTCTGCCATCGGCAGTTCTCAGTGTCATGGGGTTTCCAGAAGTTTGGGCCCCATTGCCCTGCAGGCTATTGATGTTTTTGACGTAGCCCCTCATACTGATCATTTTTCTATGACCAATTAAAGGGATCACATGTAATAAGCAGAGTGACTTAATGCTGTAGAGGTTATTTGGTAGGGTGGCTTTGCAAGCTCTGGAGGCCAGGGAAGGACTCCTAATTGGGCTGCTTATTGAGATCCCCAGGATGATGGGACAGGTAATGTGGGAAACATGTGATCCAAATCTCTTGGAAGGGCACATTCTCTAGCTCAGAATCAGGATATAGGCCACAGAGGGATGGCTGGCAATTCTAAGGTGTTCTCCCCCTTGGCCTAGTGTATCCGGCAGGCTATGCAGGAGGAATGCCAGAGATGGGATCTTGAGAGTGAGAATGTCTGCCCACGCTTAGGAAAGAGCCTAAGGTGTGAGATTCTTTACTTCCCCGTTTCTCCTTCATCTAGAGTAAATATGGCTCTGCTTCCATAATCCTTGGAAGGAAAGGTCAGGAGGTGTGGAGACAGTCCTTTCAAGAAACAGGAGCAGAGATGACTTCCTGTAACAGGAAAGAAGGAATAGAGTGCAGAGAAGTACACACATGATGTGAAGATGAAGTTAGGACAGGAGGGAGCTCAGAGGTATGCTCTTCCTGAAGCTCTACAGCTGAGAGAGGTGAGAAATAGTGGGGGTGGGGGGGAGAAAGTATGAGATAGTGTAGCAATGGGAGAGATTACAGGAGGGTACACGAAGATGGCCAGGCAAGGCTAAAAGTCCAGTGTAAGCTGATAACTGTGACCTTGTACTGTTAGTGGCATGTTGAGCTCCAGCAGTATCCACCAGGTGAAGATGTCATATTCTACAGGGAGGTTGAGACAGGCAGGAACAAATGAAGATTATTTAAGAATAGTAAGAGAGTACACGCATTGAAGGGTCCAAGGTACCCGCACTGAGCTGGGAAGAAGTTAAAAAGCACACAGGGTTCAGTGGCCTGGAGGGCCTCATGAAGATACCTGGGGTAGGTGGGATGGAATATCATAAAGGGATAGAAAAGTGTAGCTAACTATGTTAGTTTCCTAGGGCACAAACTGAGTAGCTTAGAACAGACTGTTCCACAGTTCTAGAGGCTAGAAATCCAAAGAAAGGGTTTAAATTTTTTTATTACATTTATTTATTGTATGGGGGCCTGCACATGCTACAGCATGAATATGGAGGTCAGAGGAGAACTTGCAAGAGGCCGTTGTCTCCTTCCATCATGTGGGACCTGGAAATCAAACTCAATTGTCAGGCTTGGCAGCAAGCGCCTTTACTCACTGAGCCATCTTTCTAGTACTATCCCTTTTTATACTTTTTTTCCCACCTAAATATAATTTACTTCTTTAAACTAGTATTTTTGTTTATTGTCTCCCAGTGAGAAAGTAAGCACCAAATTGTCGGGTGTCTTTTATTCACTGATACAACCTAACAATCTTGAACATCACTTAGCACAGTAGGTGTGCAGTAAATATTTAATGAAGGAATGAGAGATGGCTCAGCAGTTAAGAGCACTGGCTGCTCTTATAAAGGATCCAGGTTTGGTTCCCAGCAACTGCCCTTAACTCTAGTTCAGGGGATCCAACACCCTCTGTATGCATGTAGTGCACATACATGCAGGCAAAACATACACAAATAATTTTTTTTAAAGAATTTGCCAGGCATGGTAGCACATGTCTTTAATCCCGGCACCCAGGAGGCAGAAGTGGGCAGATTTCTGTGAGTTTGAAGCCAGCCTGGGCTACATAGCAAGTCCTAAACCAGTCAGGGCTACATAGTGAGACCCTGTCTCAAAAAACAAAATAATAACAAATGGATGTTGAGCCTCCAAGTGTGTGGCCACACCCATATTTGGCCCTGTCATTCCCTGCTCCCGTAGCTCCCCATCCCCAGAATAGAGATCTAGATTTATTCACTGAATAACTTTAAGGAACCCCCCCACCTCACCCCCACTTGGCTGTCACTAGTAACTTTGTCCATCTTTGGTTTGGTCTTGGACCCTGGGTTCTGACCTCACCTCCTCCCAAGCACCATGAGATTTTCTTCCTCTGACTTTGAACCTAGCCATTCTGCCTTTAAGTTCAAGAGTATTCCAAACCAGGTTTGGTAGCTTATGCCTGTATTCCTAGCATTTGGGAGGCCAAAGCAGGAAAATGGCCATGAATTTGAGGCTATCCTGGGCTACATAGTGAATACCAAATCAGCATGGGCTACAGAGGAAGATTCTGTCTCAAAAAACAAGACAAAACACCAAAAAATTATCAAAGATAGTGACACCGACCTCTCAAAACTCCCTTAGGGCCTACTTCCCCACTCTACTACCTGACTGGACCACCCAACCCAGAGCTCAGGAACCAGGCCTGATTTTGTTGAGCATCCTCAGCTTCCTTTGCACTGATAGATGATGCTCTGATTGTGTACTTCTGTATGTGAACACAAGATGGCAGAATTTGCAAAGGAATAACCCATCTATTCCCTCTTCAAATTTTCTAGATGTCCCAAGATAGAAGCAAAACAGTCTAGGCTTGAATCTGGCCCTTAATAAGCTGAGTAACATCTCAGTCATCTAAAAGGCAACTAATGATTATTCACAGTGTAGCAAACCTAGTCATTGAGCTCAGAACTCAGTGTGAGTTATAGACACTTATTATATCACTTCAGTATTTCACCTTCAGGACTATGACAAGTGTGATAGGTACACAGATTCAGGAAGTTCATTACTGCAGAAACCGGAGCCCCTCGTCCATCATTTAGAGACAGGCAAAACTTCAAAGAAGCAGAGACAATGCCTGTGTAGACGCTTAAAGACTAATGAGCTGGAGAGAAATGAGAAGGACATTCTAGGTGAAGTCAAATCACCAGCCAAGACAGGTGAGAAGCATGAGCATGATCGCCGGTGAATGAAGCTCAAGAAAGGGACCATGAGGGAATGAGTCTCAGAGATGGCTGAGGCCACAGTGGAAGACGTGTGCCTGGCCAAGAAGCTTAGACTTATTTTAGGAGTGATGGGAGATTACTAAAGGTTCTGAGGCAGGCATGAGGTGAAATATCAGACTTTTAGAGTGAGTACTCTGGATGCTACAGCTTGCTGAGTGGATGGAGAAGGCAGAGCAGAAACAGTAGTGAGGAAGCTGTTGTAGAGAGCCAGGAAGAAGCAGGGAGGCCAGAATTATGACTAGGACAGGTCCTGAGAAGTTCTTCTAGCCCACAAGGGCATTCAGTGCCTTTCACTCTGAAAGGGTTCTTGGTACCCACTGCCCCACTAGACCTACTGTACCCCCTCTGTTATTTTGAGCTTTTTCCTAGCTCCTGATTATTCTGGCTAGAACCAGAGTCCCTCAGCCTTCATATGGAGAGGCCACAGCATCCTAGGTTCCTCTCCATTAGCTCTGTCAGCTTTCAGTTCATTCTACATGACAGCATTTCTCAATATGACCCTTTCACATGTTCTCAGTGTGGCTAAGGGGCCTTCTTCGTCAGGGAGCACAGGTGAGCATTAGTCACTCCCTGCCAACTTCCATCACCTACCAGAGTGAATTCACATGCCTGTGTATGCGTGCATATACTGAGGTCTAGAGAGGCAGTCTGCCAGAGAGGAGGCATAACCGGAAGACAAAGGCCTAGA